AGCAAATCTCCGAAAAATAGAGATTATGCTGGGGCCTGCACAACCAGTGAGGACGGGCCATTCAAGTATCAAGTACCAATTCTAGAAAAACTAAGTTGAACGTTATGTGGTTTTGCAATGATTTCTTCATTGGCTAATTTTCTTTATGCTTCAGTCATTTTTTATTTCTTCGTTATATTATCTTTGCTTTCTACTGTTTATTTTTCGTACTAAAAAGCAACAGTATTAAAATGATTAAAGCCATATTTATTCAAAATAGAAGTTGGCGTTGGTTATTTCCACTCACTTTACTTCTCGCCTAACATAGACTACACTTAAGCCGTAGAAACAAAGTGAACTGAAGGACCATAGAGCTCTAATGAAAAATCCGTCACATAATCAATATTGAATGATTTATAATTAATTAAATGTAAAGTAGACTTTCCGTGCGACGTTGTTCTAACACGAGTTGAAATTTAGCTGTCGAGTGATTAATGGTAAATATATATATATATATATGTATATATATATATATATATATATATATATATATACTTCACGCTTTGTGTTTGAATGAAATCTTCAAGATGGAACCACACATGTGTAAAGTGTAAAGTATCAACGATGAGATGACTATATCAAAGATCCATTCTTAGATGAAGGTGTAAGATCATTATACTTCCTTTCTCTCTTTTTCTCTCTCTCTACTTGATCATGCCTCACACCATTAATGCTCGTCATTTGCTTCTCTTTTTTGCCGTTGTCTTGCTACTTCCTTTTATCTCTTTCATTGTACATCATTGAATAACTATTTAGTTGCTTGAGTTTTTCCCACAAAGAAGTTGCAGTAATAATACTTACCAGCATTCTAGTATAATTGAGTATTTTTAACAATAGAAAGTATTCCTCGAGCTCAACTCCACTCTTCACTGTTGAAGTGCTTTGTATGATCTTTAGTTAAAATGAGAATGTCTAATCGTTTGACTGAGCTGGTCATTTTGGATTTCGCATTACGTTGTAATGGACTGGTTATCCATCTGTCCGCTAAATACCATGCACGTACTCGTCCCACTCCAACCAGCCCGTCTCCTCTATACCTCAAGCCATTAATGCTCGTCATTTGCTTTGTCCATAGCCGTTGCCATCGCCCTGTCGCTATAAGAAAATTATGCCTCTATTTAGAAAACTTCATGGGTTTTTGGCATAAAATTTTTTAACTACACGTCCCTTTGTACCATCCATTTTTCACCTTCTTCAGTGGTATCATTGGTATCTACCTCACCGAGCCCATCCTCGATGTGGGAATCTACAATTGACGTACGAACTGGTAGTGAGTGTGGTTGATTCTTAGTTTCATTTATGTCCATCGATTGATCTAATAAAAGGAATTTTGAACATTTATTTTCAAATCACATAATCTGGTTGAAATTCGATCTGTGTTCGTGGAATGTATTCGACAGCCAATTTCGGATCCATATTGAATTCCTAAGCTAAAAATTCGGCGCTTTGTGTCGAACTAGTTGGCCTCGATCTGGTTTCGCATAGCCGCATCCAGTAGTGGGCTAAACTAAGGGTTGCAGCGTAGAATGGCGACTATAAAACGCCATAGTTCAAAATAGTGCGTCATTACTGCTTGGAGGTTTGATGTTTTTGTTTCCATGTATTATTTTCGAGTATTTTTGAGCCTAGTACAGCGTTCATTATGTCATCATCTTAAAACCTCACAGACATGTTTAGCAGTTTTCCAGGTGGCTGAGCTATATAGGTAAACGAGTAGGTAGCATGATGACAAAGAACAGTGCAAGATGATCTGTTAAACGGCTCATAAATAGCGTGCCGCTTTTTGTTGTCGGTAGTTGTATTTCGACATGACTGCAGAATGAGGTCAAACTAGAATGATACTAATTCGGAAAAGTAAGTGGTTCTTAGTATAATCGCTTATAGCGCCCTTATTATTAATTGCGTAATAGTTAGAAAAAGAAGTATGCCGTGACCAAGGTATCAACAACCACTACATCGACAGACATTTAAGACCGTTCGGCGCTAATGACATGGTGTCGCACCACGTTCCCACTCATGATATCGGCCATCGCACATCATCTCAGCTATTAGCAACTGTGATATCTATTAATTTCTTTTCAATGTTGATAAGGTGTCGTTTTCATTCAAATGAAAATCGTCTGCCGAAGATGTGGTAAAACTGATGTTTTCCAAGTTCACAAATGCAAAGAGTCATTGGAAAGAAAAATGACTGGAGGACACGAAATTGTGGGAGTCGAATTCAACCCAATCTTCTAAATCGTGTCCTTATTATCGTATTAATTTATTCGGTCATTTTACTACGAAGTCACAATTTGAAGTGAGATCATTCTGGGCTGATTTGAGATATTACGTGATACGAATTATCAATGCATTGAGGGATAACTGTTATTGTGGATGTTGCCTTTAGACTTTCATCAGACGCCCAGAGAAAATCGGTGCATAATGTCCAGTTCAGTCAATGGCATTTCTCTACAATGTTTTTCACTTTTAGACATATCTGTGGAGACCGGCGTTTTTTCCAGAATTTCTCATTTCCAGCAAACAATGACCACATTTACGACAGTCGAAGCAGAAACTTGGCTGCATGGTGGCAAGCCTCCCATCGATACAACACGTCTGATGGCTGTCTTTGGTTATGAGCTGGAATCCCTTATTCAGGTTTTTCGGATCTGTAGGAAAGAACTTTTTTGAACACTCTTGTGGCAATTATGTTGACTCCCACACAGTTCAACGCGAAGACGCACTGCTCAGGTTGCAAAGCACAAGTTTTCCTTGCTTATCGGAGTGAACGTGCGATATCCACACAAAGCAATGTCAACTTTTCTTGTATTCCACGTCGTTAAAGTGTAAAATCGCCGTCATTTGCATTATCAGAGACGGAGAAAGTCGTCGCTTTCGCCGTGTGACCTGATTGCGATTCGAAGCGTATCGAATATCCCGGAGGTCGTTCACCTCACAGCTTAGTCTCATCCACAAATTAGAAACCGCTTGCAGGACGCCATCTGACAAGTGCAGCTTAGTAAATATTGCTAGTTCTCCGAATCACAATCTTTTCCGGCATTCTAAAGCGTTGAAAGTTTTTGAATCTTCAATTGCGATTGATTTCGATTGAGCTGTGCCAAAAACGCTTCGAAGCTGAGCTGCACGCGAATGTGATGTCGATGCGGATATCAGAACATGTCTTAAAAAGCCATTACTCCACAAAAACATAAGCTTCACTGCCCGGTCTCGTTTAGTGAAATAATCGCAACCGCAATGCTTTTTATTCTAAGCCGCTCGAATAAGATCCGAAACCGGGAAAATTACTTAACTTTCTAGGTATCAGACATTGCCGTGCTCATTGCTGTATAGGCTTTCCTTTTTTCGGCGGTCATTAATCTCAACAGCATTAGACTAAGTGAGGTGTTTCTCACTGAGACTCATTCGCTGAACATGGTTTGCTTCGGCGATGTTCCAACATCGATTTGTAGAAGAAAGATAGGAACATGCTGCGAAAATTACTACGTTTCCATTGTTGTTCGAGTTTTTTTAAAAATATCCTACTTCTGCGCACTCACGATATATCAACATCTTTGATTTATGTTTATTTAAATTTTCTGTTTAGAAACGTAAATAGGTGGAGTGATTAGTTGTTTACCTTCTCAATGTGACGTATTCGCCTTCGTATCGAGTCGGATCTTCCTCAGTGGAGTATCTCTCAAATGAGGCATTCTCACCCAGCGATGCTCTCTTGTGCAGGATGCTGGTTGTAGTTAATGGTGATTGTCCGATGACAACAACTTGTTTTTTCGGGCAAGATGGAGTGATTGATTTGGGACAAGAAGACAATCTGAAATCACCTTCGGACGCCTTTCGAACTTTTCTTCGTGAATGTATTTTTTTCCGAGGTATACAATTAGGTTGTTGTCAGTGAAAGAACACCAGATAAACGATGATGGAGAGGTGTAATAAAGCCCAACACTTCTGTGTGGCTATGACGAGTTGCTCAGTATGTTAAAGTGTCACCGGTTTATCGAAGCTAGAGAGTTTAGAATACGTAAGCACAACTAGATAGTTGTAGGAGCGCAGTGCCTCGACAGTAGCCGTCCGTCCTCCACCCTTCTTCGTTCTCCTCGCTTCTTTTTCAGTTCTTCGTCCGCTGAGCGAAGTTTTCGGACTATCCAGTTGAATGGTTTTTCGGGCCTAGCTGTTCTTTTCTGTTTCTCAAATTCAATAAAAGAAAGAGAAGATCGAAAGCTTTATCTAACCATATTTTTCATAGCACTTTTCAACCATCACATCTCATTTGTTTTGTTTTAATGCAGCGATGAAGTACGCTATGGACCATTAACTACTGCGGTGACTTGACCTACTAAGACTTCTTGGGCAACTTCAGGACCGTTCTATTTTAATTTTCTAGTGCGTTTTTTGAAGAGGTTAAACAGTTCTCTTGCTTCTTACTGTCGGTACTGCTAACCGTACGTAGTCACTACCACAGTTTTAAATCAAATCCACCTGATCACTGATACTAATTTATTTAAGTGATCTAATAGCTTTCGAATTTTAACTACTTTGGGAGTGTTTATAATGGTCAGTAGTTAGAGCAGTAAAAGTGAAATGCGAGAGCCGGATCGGTTTATTACGTGTTTTGCGATCAGAATAGAGAGTCGTATCAGCCGCGAAGCACGACCGACAACACATTGCGTCTGGTCAGTGCTCTAGATAGTCCTTGACTTGATTATGATTCGTTTTCATTCTCGACGCCTCCCAATGTGGAATCTGGGTTACTCTATCTCTGGTGCATTTCTTCTTTTCATAATATCGCCATTCTTTTCAGGTATTTGAAAACTTTACCTCGTTCACACTACGTTGCCAGCATTATTTCAGTGTCAGCGAATTTCGCCTTCCAGTATGACAATTCCACCTGCGAAAAATTTTTTCTCAGCCACTTAGTGCTACTATTAGTTATTTAATATTTTTTTTACAGTATCATCTCATCAATGAGCGTGCTCTCATTGGAGCCGCTAATTCGACGAATCTTCGAAGCCTGGGGGCCAATCGCCTACAGGTTCCGATGGGCGTTATTTATTTTTCCATTCATTCTTACCGTCTGTCTTTCGCTAGGCTTTCTAAAAATGAACACCCTTCGAGTTGATGATCCATCCTACGTTTTCACCCCATCTGATGCACGGTTCGTTCCCCAGACCTTTACTCTATAATACAATTCGTATAATAGTCGAGTCTTTTGCTGTGAGATTACTTATCAGTTTACTTTGAACTTTACTAGAAAAACTTCTATTAAAAAGTGGTTTTTACTTTTATTGAGTATTCTAATGCACGTTTTTAGGTGGCGTCGTGAACTGAGGATTTTCTCAGAGAACTGGCCTTTGAACGAGAACAAATTTTTACCGGGAAAGTCATTCGAGACAAAGCGCTTTATTAATGTTTTAATCCGAGCTCGAGATGGTGGCTCAATATTGAGAGAGGAAGTGCTAAAAGAAATTCAAGTTTTGAATCAGTGGATCTCCAACAACATCAGCGTTTCCACCGATGATGGACGATTCAATCTCACCTATCAGGTGGAAGATTGCTTCTCCATGTCCAGTTCCTTTTATTTCACAAATTCTCTAAGAGACTCTATTTAAAATCGCAGATCGATTTTTTTCCATAGCTCCCTCTTTTACAGGATCTATGTCTCAGCTACGATTGGGTTTGTGGTGGTAACGAACACATCGACATGTTTCTTCAACGAAACAAAGTTGGACAATTTATCGATCTCTCATATCCAAGAGGAGGAAATAAGGCGTGACCTCATTTCTTTCAAATATCTGCACATAGTATCAGATTTTCGTCAGCCGATCTTCTAATTGACGAAAAAACTGGGTGGCGAACTCTTTACCATCTTTGAAAAATTTTCAACCTTTCTAGGATACTCCCGTCTATCTCGGGACCGTGCTTGGAGAAGTGGAGCTCTTCAAAGAGAACGACACTGTGAAAAGTGCAAAAGTTACTCAACTCTTCTATTTTCTTAAACAGGAGCAGTCAATTGTTCGACGTTACTCGTCCGATTTTTCCTATGCTGTTGAGCGATTTTTTCTCAACTTCTACAAATCTAGCATCATTTCGGTCTCGTTTGCCCATTATCAGTCATTACAGGTTACTTTACTTTATCGCTTTTCGCTTATGATTAGTTCGTTCTGACGTAATTTAATGTTCCATCCAATGCTTTAAATAATCTGTTTGTCCTGTGGACAAAACGAAACGATAAGGCTAACATCATTATCGTCTAATGAAGTGATTTGATGAGATTCGGACTTCTTACCATAGAATTTTAATCAAAAAATGGTTAAAGTACTTGACATCAATGAACATAATTTTAGGATGGTCTAGGGGAAAACGCTGAGCGTTTCGCTCCGAATTTCTTTGTGAGCTTCACTACTCTGTCTATTTACGCCTTAGTATGTGCATTTTGCTTGAAACGGAAGCCAAAGAAAGGTATAGACTGGATCCGAAGCAAACCGTGGTTGGCATGCGCAGGTAGGCTTGTAAGGATAAACGATGAAGGTTGTTACATACGATATCTCCGATTTTATTGCTTTAACTTTTTGTATCTTTTTAAATAAAAATTTTGTTCTGTATGTGTTTTTAATATATATCTTTAAAGCACGAAATTTGCTTTCTTCTATTTTCATTTTTTAAGACTTACTATTTTAACATTTTCGTAAGCCTTAACTTTAATATGGTATGTGGTATTCGTGTCCTTTTTTTCGTACGAGTGGGAGAGTGGACATAATGCCGAGGTTGTAGCTCGGAATATCATCAAGTTTGGAGTGAAGTTAGTGTTGGTGAATCAACAGTGCAAACATGGCTTCGGAAATTCCGTTTTGATGACTTTGACCTAGAAGGTAAGGAAGGCCGTGGACGTCCCAGTGAATTTGACGACGACGAATTGAAGGCACTATTGGAAGCAAGCAAGTGCAGAACTGTTGGAGAGCTTGCAGAACAGCTTGGTGTACGCACAGAAGCAATTCTCGCTCACATGAATCGCATAGGAAGAAAAATAAACTCGACAAGTAGGTGCAGTACGAATTAAACGATAATTAAAAAATCGCCGTTTTGAAATGTTGTCTGCTCTTATTCTGCGCAAACCCCTTCCTTGATCAAAATGTGACGTGCGATGAGAAGTGGATTCATTACGAGAACCTTCGACGCTCAGCTCAATGGTTTGATTGTGAACAGGCTCCACAACATTTTTCGAGGCCGAAATTGCACCAAAAAAGGCTTACAGTGACTGTTTGGTGGTCTGCAGCCGGGTTTATTCATCAAAGCTTCTTGAATCCGTGCAAACCGATCACTTCAGAGAAGTATTGCCAATAAATCGACGACATGCACTCTAAACTCGAACAACAACGACGGGCATTAGTCAACAGAAAAGAACTCCACGGCAACTCTCGGCCTCACGCTGCGAGCCAGCACTGCAGAAGTTGAACGTGGGCCACGTAACTTTGCTTCATCTACCATAATCACCAGACCTCTGAACCTTGACCACTTCCTGCGCAAGAAATGCTTCACTAGAGCAAACAATACCTCCGACGAATTCATCGCTCCCAGAACTCCAGAACTTTCTGCAACGAAAATAAATAAACTTGCTTGTTGTTGCAGAAAAAAGTGCTTACTGTAATGATGCTTATTGCGATTAGTAAAATTTAGCACCAAAACAGTTATGGTTATTTAATTTTTATAATTAAAATCGGACATTTCATGTGTTACAACCTTATAGATGATTCGACGTTGCTCGGTTCTTAGGGAATGAATGCACAGTGCCTTTAACTCCACAAGGAATCCTTAGAGGGGGTAGAGGTGACTGAATTGCTATTTGCGTCATGGAAAGACTAGGGAAAGCAAGTCCAAGTATTATGCTACTGTTTTTCACCTGGATTATCAGCGTCCTTAATTAGCCCTGGGCGATGTGTACCAAAAGCCATGGGTGTACAGCGGACACCTCTAATCAGTGCGCTAAACGCACTCGTTGGGTAGGCGCTACATTTTTTGAAGAAATTACATCGTAATGTTAATGCAAAGGTTCTTATTGTTTTCGCGTAGATATTACACTTATACTATTTATATAGTCTTCATTCGTTTTCATTTCTCCACTTTTGTCTTTTCTCAGCAGCTGTCCTTCTGTAACATTTTTTACGCACTGTAGAATGTTCATTTTTTTAAATAATTTGTAATTGTAATCAAGCGCGAGAAAATGGTCCGATATGGTCATCACTTTGAACTTCCAGTTTGTTGACATATTTAATATGTTCGCAGCAGACATACCGTTAGCAAAGATAATGATAGGAAAGCCGAATGAGAAATGTATGAATAAGTTTGGTTAAAGAAAACGGTAGTGAAAAAAATGTGAAGCAATTTCGAGCTTTTAAAATAGACTAGTTCGACCATTTGCCAGTTTCGTTTTTCTGCGTTCATTTCATTAGATTCAACAGTTTATCCAATTCAGCAGCTTCGGATACTCAAGAAAATGTTCCGAAAAACATCCGGGTTGCCCAAAATTAAGTCAATTTTCAAAAATGTTAGGTTTTCGAATGTAAGCAAGTCAAGTGTGAAAGGCAAATTCTCTGAAATATCAAAAAATTAGAAAATTGGAAGAGCAAATTGGGGCGGCTCAGGTGGATTTTTAAATGAGTAAGCCATTCTTACGGCGTCATTTTGAAGTTATGTTATGTCAAATATCCTATCCTACTCTACTATACTCGAAATCAAGCCTAGTGCTGCTATTCGGAGCCCAGAACCATAGAGAGAATAGCTTCTGCGTAATGCGGGAACAAACGAAAGACACCGTGTATTTTGATGCTTTCAGGGATCCTGAGATAGCCGTGTTGGGTTGTTTTCGCGATGATTTGAGAGTGCCTGCTTGTTCGAAACTAGTCTGGCACCAATTTTCCCATTTTGAAAGGATGAGGTGTGTGGTTTACCCGGGACGGTGTCGAATCAGTGCCTGGGTGGGTTGGACAATCCACGTAATGAGCGGGATAGCTACCACTGTCCACCTCGCTCCCTTTTTACAATAGCAGCATCCCAAAAATACACGGCAGTGTTGAAAATTTCCAAGAAAAATTGTGTTTATCACCGAATTTATTTCACAGTTAAACGAAAAATACAACTTAGTAATGTGTTGTATAGAAATGCTCTTACAGGTCTTGCTACCACTTTGATGGCTATTGTATGTGGTTTCGGCAGTTTAATGATGTTGGGAGTGAGCTACAATGTCATTAATACGATTATTCCATTTCTTATAATAGGTAACTACTTCGCTGTACATTTCTAATAAAATGGCATCAGCAGGCACCTCTGCAAATTCTTGCGGACCTGACCTTTTATGATTTCTAAAAGACTCTAATCATTACTAATTACTAATTATGGCCTTCACAGTAGAATCACTCTAATCGTTCATGTCTATTTCGTTTGTAGTAGTTTAGTTCCAGTGGGCTTCCCTAGTTATAATTATGTGTATTTCGGATTTGAGCTTTCAGTGGTCGTTTCAAAAAAATGAAAATGTGAGCTTGTAAGTTTATATATCATTAATATTATTTTTTTCCGAAGCACTAAAAATAGGCAAAGTTGGAAAAGTTGATTCCATACAAGTTTCCCTCAGTTATCGATCCAATTGTTTACCGTTTTATTTTTTCGAACCATATCTATGGATTAATAGCGAGGTACAGGTGAGATATGAGCTGATAAAGTCTGGGTAAATAATGTTTTTCTGGAATATTGTCATCCACCGGTAAAAATCGTAATTGCTGGATTGTGAGCAAATTTTCCAGCAAGTTTATTCAGCGATCGGAATTGACGACATGTTCATAATGAATGCTTGTTGGGAACAGTCAGATGAACATCAACCGGTACCAGTCCGAATGTCTCAGACGTTGTCGCATGCCGGTGTTGCCGTCACAATCACCAACATCACAGATATTATGTCGTTCGCCATAGGTAACAATGTTAGAGCCATTTTCATGAACTTCCGCTGCAAACCCGAGCGATAAAGCGTCCGAAGCTGGCTAAACCTTTAGGAGTGCGGCACTAATTCGATTATTTTAAGTAACATATCATTCATATATCATATAATTTGTGGAGAGTTTAAATCTATGCAACAACTCTCAAAAGCTCATCCACCCTTCTAATCTTCACTTCTGTCCTCTTAGATAGGACTAGTAGCAAGTTGTCACTTCTACAGAGATGGGTGACACGGTTAATGTGTGCGCGGTTAGAGTTAAGGTCTTTGCCTGTTTCGAAATACACGTCCAGTCACTATTCTATATACCCCATAACACCATCTTTTATCACCGTGCAGAAAGTAAATTGCAGTGAGATAGAAAGTTACTTCTTAATAAAAACTTAAGTTTCGTAGTGGATTTTTGGCCAAATGTAGTTATAGAACAAAATTAAAAGATGACACTAACCGATTAAGGTTGTATTACCGATCTTCCTGGCATTCAACTATTCTGCCTTTATGCTTGCGTGTCAGTCGCCTTCTGTTATTTTTTTCAAGTCAGTTCCGTTCCTTTTCCAAAGCTGATCTTAAAACTAGGCAAAAGATTGGAAACAGCATGGTTACTTAGAACAAGTTCTGAGTAATTCGAAGGTGGTATTTTTTGACCACGACGTATTTCTTATTCCTCACAAGATGCTCACTAACGTATATGTCAGACTTTACGCTATTCTGTACATTTCCAATTGAATTTTTGGCAATTCAGATCACATTCTTTTGTGGTTTAATGGCAATCTGTGGAGATTTGGAACGTCAAAAGAGGCATTGTATATTCTTCTATAGAACTATTGGCTCTATCAGTATCGCAGATTTGAGTCAGACTCACAAAGAACAGAGTGTTTTCCCGGCGAACCTGAGGCAATTCCAAAGAACTAAAAGGTGCTCTTCTAGAGACTCGAAGTCAGTGATTAGGTTAAAGAACTTTGTAATGGTAATAAATCTAGCACAAAGACACCGAAAATTTTTCCTGAACCTTCATCAGATGCATCATTTTACGCTACGCGACAAAATTCACCAGAGTGCGAGAATGTTCAAGGTTAGTTGTCCGGATTTTTTTTATTAAATGCTGATACAGTTTTCATTCGGTTAGTGATTTAGTAGGTAATATTCTCTTCGAATCACATTTTAGTGACCTGATTTGGACTAATTTGCTACGATATACGAGGAACTAGTTTTTGACTGGTAATTTCATTTGAAGCTCAAGAAGGGAGTATCAAATCTTTTCTTTTGCTTTTTTCTGTACTATTCTGGAAAGCGTATTTCCAGAAGCACTTTATTGAATTAAGTGCTGTTGGGCATGTACTGAAACACTTTGTGATCATAAAGAAGTAAATTCTCTAGGAAAAGTATTATATTCACAAAAGTTTGAAAATAGAGTTGTGGACCGCAGCCGGTTCTGAAGGTGGAACCATTTCTTCACCTTATATTTTCTGAGATGGGTTTAGGTGTTTTCAGTTTAATATCACTGTGGCATCGAAATCATTTCATAACACTTCGTTAATGGGCATTGGTAGTTGGTGTGGTAGTGAATCATACAAGCAATAGAAATATTTTAGCAACACCTCCACCTGTTTATCAGCATATTTCTTTACAAAGCAGAAATCATAAGGTTTGTTGTCACTTCTTCTAAAAGCTTTACAATTATAGTTTCTATGCCAGCATGCTTATAATATGTGATAATGTTTGAAGTAATACAGCAAAATCCTTCGGGATAGTAGTCATTTTAGAACGTCATTACAGGAAATTAATGGAATCGTGAAGTGGTTCGGAGAAGTCTATGGTCCATTCATTATGGCAAATTCCATACGCAGTATAGCTTCAATAATTTTTCTAATTTATATTATTGGTGCCTACTACGGTAGATTCATTTTTACTAAGCGCTTTGTTCCCTGTACTCTTTTAGTTGTAATCTGACCGAGGTCGCTTTTCAGGATGTGTTAATTTTCGTGAAGGTTTAAATCCAGGAAATCTCGTGACCAAAGATCATTATATTTCAAACTATTTCGAGGATATAAAATCATTTTGGAAATCAGGACCTCAGCTCCACGTTGCAATACTTAATGCTCCAGACTTAATCAATTCGAAAACGAGGTGTGAAAAACAAGAGTTTATTTCTCAAATAGAGAATTTTCCTATCTTACATGGCCGTTATCTCATCTACTGTGCGGATGCAAGCTATTCTTGGATTCCATTCGTTTTACTCACATTCATCGCCTACGCTGGTCTTCGAACATTTCGCGTGTTATTTCGGCTGGTGCTTGAGAATTTTTTCTTTTTTATGAACATCGTAGAGTGCTGATCGATTCGATGCCCCACGGAGTTTTGTTATAGCTGGGCTGGGCTGGAGAATTCAATGTTAATAAAAAAGAAATCACTGGACACTTTTTCAGCGATTTAAGAAGATGGCATCTCTTTGATTATAAGATTCTAAAATTGACAGTAAAGTTAAAATAATCGTTAAGTCTTTGTTGTATTCAGGGAACAAATTTTTTCAACAGTTACTGCTTTTGAAAACACGGAATATACCCTTGGGCGAGAAGGTACCGTGTTCTTTCTTCTCGAATACTTAAATTATCTTGATCAGCTAAATGTAGAGCTAGAAGACACACCTAAATTATGGCATCACAAACTGCGGTAAGTACCATTATTCCTTACCGTAACACTTCCTATTCTTGCCTTAATGTTTCGGTTTGCCCATGTTTGATGGAGTATTGATCTTAAACTGGCTAATTAAGTGAGACATTTAAAATTTCAGATCATGGTTGAAGTATACGGGAGGTGCATCACAGTGGGCTAGCGACATCAATATTAATGAGACCACCAAAACCATTCAATCCTTTCGATTCAGTGTAAGATCTGAGCTCACTTAATACTTACCTTCTTTTGCGACACCTCTTTACGAAACATATGAATAATGACTGAATTTCTACTTGTTTCATTTTCCCGTTATTGCCGTCTAAGGAAGCATCTTTTCGTGCAGGAGTTATTACCAAGTACAACCCATTCCAGTTCTCCAGTACCGTTCTTGTTGCTTAAGTCGATTCTTCCTTATAGTTGTTTAAATCCCTTTTTTCATCTCAGCTAGATAGCAGAAAGATGGGAGGACGTTCTCTCAAAAATATTATTTGATTTTTGAGTTTTGTAGTTGTTAGACGACTTCTATGAAAAGCCCGAATACGGGTCATTCTTATTCATTTCAACGGTTGTTTGTCACATTCACATGTACAATGTGGTCTCCACAATGACAAAACCATTCATTGCCATACGGCCCCTGTCTTGTCGTTGTTCTTCTATGAACTAAGTTTTTTATTATGTGATCTATTCTCGCTTTTATCCATTTTCCCATACTGATTATTATTTATTTCACATTTTTCGAAATACCGAGTTGTGTGCCCGACAAAATGGAGCCAAAACTGAACGGCACTCTCTAATTCAACGTGGCGGTAAAGACCTTTGGAGCGGTGGTGTCGTTCCTTAGGAATCGTTTTCCTACGATAAAGGTGGAGGAATAGTGGAAGTGTTGACCGTTTTTGTGCTTCCAAATGTTATATTATATTTGACAAGCGTAAGGATAAAAGATAGGTGGAAATTAAGGAACTCTGCGAACAAGTTAAACGGTGTTTGGCAAGACGCCAATGGCCAACCGTCTTTAGCAGAAAGACCAAACTTGATTACCGCTGAAGTATGGGACCCTCTACTTTTAAGACATGTGACCATGCGGCTGGTGAGATGTTCAGGTGTACTGGTATTCTCTTTAAAGAAGATAAACTGTGATTTTTGTATGGCATTAGAGACATGTTTCTCTTTATACTCCTCCACTGTTTTCAGAAGCAAACAATGTGAACAGGTTTTCCATCAGAGATATTAGGGGCTGCAGGGTTGTGCAACTTAGAAAACTAGAGAAAAATTCTGCTTTATCAAATCCATATTGTAACAATGTAAGCCTCGTTTTCGTTCGTGAAAACTGGTAGTGGAACACTACGTTCACATAGACTAGGTCAATTCCTTAGTCTTGAGGTCTAGCAAAATATTTCGATGGGTTTTTGTGCTTGTACCATCGTAAATTTTTTTACGAAGATTTTCTGCAGTTAACCTTCGTGACAGGCCGTGAGAAACAGTGCTTCTCGTTCAATCCTCAACTTCGTTCTCTTCTTAAACAGCTTCGTGATGACGGTTTTTGAGTGCTCCAATAGGTAGCTCGTATTCTTTGTCCTCTTATTGTTCAATTTTGTAGTGATGAAGAACAGAATTTTGTCATATTCTTCTTTTTTCGTGCGTTAAAAATTGCCAGAAACAGTTTCATCGGTTGGGACCACATCGAATTTTTCCGTTGAGACTGGTGACCAATCAAGGTTGTGCTGAGAACCGTTACAAGAACGCATTATGTTCTACTTGTAAGGGTGTGTTCGATTTCCATACAGGTCGTACAGTTAAGCTACTTTTATATTCGTAGTGATTAAAATTTCTTCTGCAAAGCAAATTGTGAGCAACAGTTGGAAGTGTTGCAATTCTTCCAAATTTTCCTTCTTGCCTTCTTATCAGAAACTTTTCGACCTTAAACTTTCCTTCTATTCTGGCATTGAGGATAGAACTTTAAACGAAACTTACGTGGATTTCATTTTTCAGTCGATACAAATTAACCAGTTTATTCTTATAAGTCACGCTGGTTGGTAAGAGATGGCCGATGATAGTGTTGATTTTATGGAATGCACTTGTTCCGCCTCTCGAGAACTTTCAACTGGCAGTTATACAGCAAGGGAGTTACTTTTACCTGCTGCTGTCTTTTTTCAGATCGCAATGAAAAACATTGTTGAGCCAAACAACCACAAATTGGCCGCAAAACTAATGAGAACGATTGCTGACGCTCAGCCATTCCACGTCGAGGTTTATTATGAGGTAAATGAACGAATTTTCAAAAAGACTATTTTTTCCAATACTGCTTCTTCTTTTGACAGATTTGCGTAAACGTTGCAGAATTCACGTATGTTCAGTGAATCAATGTCCATGAACTTGAGCAATAATAAAAACGATTGTGCCTATTAAAAGCTAAAAATACGAGCTAAAAATGCCCCATTGCAGGCGTTTCCCTTCGCCGATCAGTATCTAATCATTCTCCCTGCTATGTTGTTCAATGTGGTGATATCTCTTTTGTGTATGATCCTCGTATCGCTTCTACTGGTGCCCAGTTTGCCTGCAGGTCAAGCAAGTTTCGATAACTAGTCGTTAAGAAATTATTAAGGATATAATGTTGACTTTTTATTTACTGTCTATAACAATTTTTCACGTCAGGTATGTGTGACTTCAACCACATTGATGCTGAGATTTCTAGCGAAATTGCCGACCGTAGGTGTCTGCGGTAGAGAACGAACGCGCTATTGCCCTTTCCGAGGGCTAACGCGTTCACCACCACGCCATGCTGGTCCTTCGCTTCGCCTGTCTCTTAGCTAGTTCTATCGATCAGCGCCATCATCAATCACCCATTAAAGACATATATATATATATATATACATATATATATACATATATATATACATATATACATATATATACATATATATATACATATAT